ACACAAACACACAGACAGCCAGCCACACACACATACACACACACACAGACGTCACGGTGATACACGCGCACACACACACACACACACGGGGGCAGACACACACATACACAGACACATAGACACACCTACAGACACACACACACACACACACACACTCATACGCACTTCTTAGCGGCCCGGTGCGGGTTTGGTGGGTGGTGAATCAAGATTTTGACACAATGTTCATGATTGACTAGCCTCTCTGCTCTTTTACATGCGGGCATTGCCCGCACCACTCGCACCACGGGCGCTAAGCTAGTATATATATATATATATGCAAGGAAGATGAGCGATAGCGAACTTCAGCAATCAAACAGCATCATACATATGAGTCAAGATAGTCGTGACCTCGAACCAACAGCAGAATTGCATCACGAGATTCACCAAATAAGAACACACCAAGAGTTCATAATTGACAATGCTGAAATAGTCCCATCATCATCAACGAAGAACCAGAGTTGATATCCTATCTGGCGCTCGGCGCCCAGACTACATATGGCAGATCCTATCTAGCCTACATTACGATACCGAAAGATGACGTCAACAACATTCCCGAAGTACGAGCATATGCCGACCAATGTCGCACGCTTCCAGCACTAGGTATGTCTCTCTCCACACTCACAACCTCGTTCCCCAACACACAGATGCCACTAGCACCCAAGGACCACCCTACGCTTCACGCAGCTTACAGCAGGGCAGCTCAGCTATGGCTGCGTGCTCCTTCCCTGCTTGCCCGTGAGAGCGTAGGCGCCAGCCAGCAAATAGTGCAGCAGCGCTCGCGCAACATGCAGTCAGCACCCGAATGCCGAATACGGAGGCAGGCCCTTTGCTATATCGAAGTGGCCTGCCTACGTGCAGTCCCAGGAAGCTTCCAGTAGGCCCCGGTAGCCTGAGGCCCAGCACGACGAAAACAAGCCTTGGGCCTGAGGTGGTTGCATGTGCCCAACTGCCTTTGGCCTGTGTTTCGCCCAGTACCCGTATCCAGCCCAGGGCCTGCTTCACATACATTCACACAGGCGGCCTAGGGCCTGGGTTCACTCAACCAACTGGTGCCGCGCAACTGCCTGAATTTCCCTGAGTTGTGCGGTGGCCAGAATAGGGCCCTGAGGGCCTCATCGAACCTGCCTTCACTTAGGGTGGCCAACGGGCTGCATAATTGGGGCCTTATGGGGCTCATAGAGGTAGTGGCCTCGCATTCCCTCCTCCTTAGCTTCAACAATCCTCTGAGAAGCTCAGTCTTCAATCATGGGGCGTTTTCCCTTCTGCAGAGATTGCTCATAATGGGCTACAACTTTAGGAGCAGTCTGCACGAGTTCTTCCTCGTGAACCAACGGTCCTCCTTGGGATCGGTATGATGTCTGAACCGAACGTGGTACTGGAGCTTCGGTTTCAGAGGACGTCCCCTTCCTGCAGGTCTCTGAGCTGGCAGCTCCCTGTGATCCACGATGTCATCGATGTCCACTTCGCCATCCATGGTTGGGGGCAGCATTGAGCGACGAGAAGGAAACTCATATGTTTCCTTTAAAGGTGCAAGCTTGGAGGCGTGAAAGACAGGGTAAGTTCAGAGGTGACCAGGGATCCGGATAACATAAGATGGCCCATCCGATCTGTCCCAACGATGTCCAAGACTTCCCAGGGTCCAAAGTACTGGGGCATGAGTTTGCGGGAAATCCCGTGCTCCTGTCCCAGTTCTGAAGACTTAGCCCAGACTTTGTCCCCAACCTGAAACGTAGACGGACGGCGGTGTCTATTTTCAGACTCTATCATTGCAGCCTGTGCCTTCTGCATTTGTTCTATAGCCTGCTGCATCTTCTGTTCATACCAATAACCAAATTCTAAGGTACCTGGTGCAGCAGTGGTCTGATTCTCAGGAAGAAGAACGTTTGAGGGCAGTCTAGGCTTGAAAGTTAGCAGTAAGCTGTTTGGGCTCACCCCGGTGGCGCTGTGTACAGCGTTATTGTACAAGCTGGTGATGAGAGCAAGCTTCTCATCCCAGTCCACTTGGTTGGGCTTGATGTAATGCCTCAACAGGTGTTGTACTGTGCGGTTCAGTTGCTCGGCCTGACCGTTGGCCTCTGGGTGATTCCCAGAAGTCATCTGCAACTGAGTTCCCTACTCTGCAGCAACGACCTTCCACAACTCACTGGTAAACCGGATCCCTGTCACTAATAATAGACTTCGGTAAACCAAAGTCCCTGACCCAATTCTCCTTGAACATTCTGATCACATACTCCGTTCTTGTTGTTTTCGGCATTGCCACTAACCTAGCATACTTGCTAAATCTATCCACGATGACAAAGATGTGTCGCATCCCACTCTTGCTGGTGACTAGAGTATGCATGAAGTCCATTGATAGACTCTCACCAGGCCGTTCCGGAATCGGAAGGGGCTTCAGGAGCCCAAGAGGAGCCTGAGTACGGGGCTTGTCTCTTTGACATACCTGACAAGTCTCCACGTACAGCTGGGCGTCTCGCATCATCGTTGGCCACCAGAACCGCTGCAGCAGATTAGCTGCGGGCTTCTTGTACCCAAAATTGCCGGTAGCATCGTGACACTCACCTAAAAATAGACTACGCAAAGACTCGCTATTAGGGACACACGATCGTTTATTCCCTGCCTTCTCAAGGAACAACAAGCCATTGACCAATTCAAACTCGACAGAGGTCTTCTTGTCCTTCGCCTTGAGTCTGCGTATGATCTCAGACATAAACTGGTCCTCGCGATAGGCTTCCACCAAAGCCTGAGTAACATTGTCCGTCAGATTAAACTCAGTAATCAGCGCACCTGAGAAATCAGGTCTACACGACAAGGCATCAACAACCTTGTTGTACTCCCCTTTCAGATACTGAGGGTCAAAGTCATACCGCTCAATGACTTCAATCCAATGTTTGAGAGCGTCAGAGAGCACCGACTGAGTTCTCATCCATCTCAAGGACTGATGATCAGTCCTGAGGATGAAGAACCTCCCAAGGAGATAGTGCCTCCAATGGGTCAGAGCCTTGTACACTGCATAAAGTTCCTTCTCATAGGTGGACTTAGCCAAATTTTGAGACGGCATTTTCTTGGACATGTACTCTACAGGCCTCAACTTTGGCCCATCCTGCTGCGTGAGCACGGCACCAATGTCATATTGGCTGGCATCCGTGCTGACTATAAACGGCTTATCAGGATCAGGAAGTTTCACGACCTCGTAGTGCATCAACGCATGCTTCAGATGTCTGAAAGCAGCCTCACACTCATCTGTCCACTCTCATGGGGTGTCAAGGCGCGTCAGATCGGTCAAAGGAGCGGCCACTATACTATAGTTCTTAACGAAGGTCCTATAGTAGCCTGTCATTCCTAAGAAAGATCTCATCTCAGTCACAGACTGAGGACGTGGCCAATCACGAATGCTGGCCACCTTCGTGTCATCGGGCTTCAACCCTTCCGTGGAGATCTCATGACCCAAGTACAAGACACGGGTGCGGACAAACTCGCACTTCTCACCGTTGATCTTGAATTTGTGTTGTCGCAGGAGACTGAGGACTTTGTCCAAGTGTGCAACATGCTCCTCGACAGTCTTACTAAAAATAAGTATGTCATCGAGGTACACGATGACAAACTTATCCAAGTAGTCATGGAATATCCGATTCATAGCGTGCTGAAAGGTGCCAGGAGCATTGCAAAGGCCGAAAGGCATCACCACAAACTCGTATAGACCGTACCTGGTCTGAAAGGCGGTTTTGTGTTGATCCTCGGGCCGGATTGCAATCTGATGGTACCCGGACTTCAGATCTATCTTGCTGAAGTACCGACACCCTTGCACTCTATCTAACAGATCGTCAATGAGCGGTAGGGGCTCTCTGTTATTTACAGTGATGGCATTGAGGCCCCTATAGTCAATGCACATCCTAAGTGTACCCTCCTTCATATTAGGTACGAATAGTACTGGAGATCCATAAGGAGAGACACTCGGCGGGATCCAACCCTTCTCTACGAGTTCCTTGAGCTGTCGGCGAAGCTCATCGAGCTCGCCTGGAGACATCCGATAGATCCTACCCTTCGGGATGCTAGACCCTGGGATAATCTCTATCGCGTGGATGGCGTCCCTCTCTACAACCCCTGTTGGCTCTTCAAATAGATTAGGGTACTTGGCAACTACTCCCTCTATCTCCGGCGGCATTTTCACCGTCTCGCCTGCAGCAGAGACATAAACTAAGTACATACCCTCCTCCTGATTTTGCTTATAATAGTTATAAAACGCGGCCGCACACATGCACCCATAGGACTCAATCACACTACTAGCTTTGAAGTTATGTAATCTAGCGGTCCCTCCACCTGGCAAAGTGTGTTTGACCACCTTTCGGTCCCAGTCAAACTGGGGCTGTGTCACAGAGAGGTAGTACATACCTAACAACATGTCCATGGGGAGTTCATCGCTCACTAGGAACGAGACGCGATGTCTCAAGTCCATTCCCGCTTACGGGAAATAACACTCAACATCCTAGAGGTAGTCATTGACTACCATGCGCTGTTTGTTGGCACAGGTCGACTCCACATGTTGACTCAGGCGCTGCACTCGCCCCTGTAAACGCAGCCTCTCAATGCACGCGCGACTAATAAAGTTCCTTGTCGAGGAAGTGTCATAATAGGCCCCGGCCTTCCAGCCGCCAATAACAACCTCGCTGACGAACATCTCACCCTTCAGGGCTTTGACTAATACGTCCAAGAAGCTAGCGGGTCTGATCTGGACCACTCCACCTCTAGCTCCTCTAAGGACTCAAACACATTCATCGAACAGAGGCTCGATGGGTTTGAATGTGCTTGCGGGACGACGCTGGAGTCAGTAGCTTGGGCCATCTCTTGAGATGGTGAGGGTGTCTCCACCACCTCGACCCTAGCAGGAACAACTACTATTCCTACTGGCCCGACGTGTTTCCCGGAGCACTGCCTGAAGTACTGACAACATTGCTACCAACGGGATGAGAGGATCCCAACACCTACCCCATCGTAGGCGGGATCTTTTCGGTTACCTTCTTGTTGCGGCACTTGTACTGGCTATGGTCATATTGACCACAACGAATACGTGCCTGCCGTGAGTACCAGTCTCTCCACACGTCCCCTGTGAGACCCGCTTTCTCCCATGGAGGAGAATTGGGGTCAACTTGACTCCTAGATCAGGAGCCTCCACGACGTCTACCGGTCGCCTTACCTTTTGAGCAACGGCAACGACTACTCCACCCTCTAAAGCTACTATGCTGCCTGCCTCTGAACCTACTCCCTCCTGGAAGTGTTCGTCTACTTCGATAATGGAACCATCATTATCAACAAACCTTAAGCGACCCTTCGCCTTCCCGTTAGGAGGCAGTGTCTTCTTCCTCCCATCCGTAGTGGGTGCCTGTCCATGCCCTATCTTAGCCTCTAGGTCTACGGCCATCTTACTGAACGAAGGAAAGTTGTGCATATTGATGTTGGCCTCCCTTGCCAATTGGTTCCTGAGAGGCAATGAAAAGCATCTCAGGTACGAGGTAAGTAAGACCTGGGGGTCATAGCGCACCCCTGGAACACAGATCAGACGCTCGACAACGTCGGTGGCTTCCCTTACTGACTTGAATTGCCGCGTGTGCAGTGTCAGGATCGCATCAATGGCCCTTTGGGCCTCCTGAGGATCGTGCCACCTGTCCTCCACCATCTTCAGGAAGTCCTCCAATTTCTGGGTGATCGCCCAAGCGCGGAAGTCATTACCATACCCCTGGAGCTGTACTAAACCACTCAACCATCTTGCTGCACTACCCTCTAGGTAGGAAGCAGCCACAAGCACTTCTTCGTGCGACAAGGTAAGTTTACACCTGACATAGACTGGCACTGCCCTCAACCACATGTTGAGGTCTTCGCCCCTCTTATCCCATGTGAAAGGTTGTGGAGCGGCGATGATCGTCTTTGGAACCTACTGTGCCTGTCCCGGTCCCTGCATCACTACGGGCTATGGACCCTGTGACACAGGTTGCTGTGCTAGCTGTTGGGGCTGTGTGCCCTGCGGCTGCATAGGCTGCGAGACAGCAGGCTGCGAGACAGCAGGCTGCGTGGTGACGGCAACCTGCAACGGAGTTTGGGTGAACACTGTCTAAACAGGAACCTGTAAGCTAGTCCCTGCTTATACCCCTCCTGACAGCGGCATGCCCAGGGAAACGATCGCGACCGATGATGGGGATACCCCAGTCACCGGTGGGACATTAGGAGGAGGATGTACAACGGGCCAGGCACCAGCTCCGGACATTGGCAATATGGCCTGCGTTCGCCCAACCAACAGGGCCACACTTTGCTGGATGTCCTGAAGGATGGTTGTCTGATGGTCCTGCATCTCAACTACATTCAGCAGGACAGACCGTATGAGTCTCAGATCATCAGTCACGTTCGTCAGGTCCATCTCCTCTAACTCACTAACGTCCGCTTGTCTACGTTGCATCCTGGCTCTTCTTCTAATCATTCTGTCTTTCTCCGCTTTTATTTCTCCTAACGCCTTTTGTAGTTGTGCCTCCTGCATTGCTGCTTGTTGTATGGCGATCTCATCAGGAGTTAACACCAGTGGCTGGCTCGCCATGACACCAGTGGACTGACTCTGGGTCGGCGCGACCGTTGACCCAACAGACCCTGAACTACCGGCCTGAGTGGACTGCTGCGCTGTGGTGGCGACGACTTCTGAAGTTGTGGCTCCACTCACAAGTGCCCTGCTAGCCTCCGCTGCTCTAGCCCTCCGCTGCTGCTGCTGCCTTTCCCTAAGCTGGCGGAACAGATGTTTGTCGCCCTCTGGTCCTAATGCCAAATGGGCTACTGGGCGCCTTGCCGATCGCAAGATCCGGGCATCCGGTTGCTGTTCCTTCCTATCACTCATAAGCTACAACCCTGTACACAATCTGCACTATTGCACTCTAAGTGCCTACCGCAGCGTAGTGCACAAACCAATCAACTGGTGGCTATTTCGGACACTTTACATTCGGGTCAACAGGTAAGTCAGGTTCCTACAAATAAAACTATTTTTAGTTTGAGTAGTCCGCAAACAAAAGCACCAGGAACAATGAACAGTTTTAACTACGGTTGTCTATCATATGTCAATGGCTGTACACCTAACTAATCAAAACATAAAAATAGAATTATTTGTGTGGATAGGACAGCATGGAATTTTCTCGAACTTATCAACTAGAATTTCCCTCCCGGAGTTCCCCTGAGTATCTCTTGACGTCAACGTCCTTGAGCAATCCGGAGGCGTTGCATGTCTAAAGGTGTGTGTTCGGCCCACCCCTGTGCCCCGAGTATCTGCTGAGCTGGCCAGCCCTGCACTGGATTATCCTCGCGTGCAGCGAGCCTTACAACCATTGGCTGATCCAGAGGCAATTTAACGTCCGCCCCCAAGTGACTCCAGGAATTCTTTTACGTCGCAGTCGGACGACGATCACAGCCAATGGTTCCCCTTCCGGTGCTTATTTAAAGACGCCCGGTCTCGTCTCCCTCAAGGGCTGGCCTGCCCAACAATACCCCTTTAACAGCGCAGCAAGCCGAACAAAGGACAAGCAGCAAGGCATGCGTGCTCTACTCCCTGTGGGTTGGCATGGTGACCGTGACCCAGTGCTTCGTCCAGGGCCCTTCAGAAAGCTCCGCCCATCTTCTCTCAGATGCTCCACGTGAACATTGCCGACTCTCAAGGTTGAGCGCACTCGACACCTCACAATGAGAGGACTCTCAAGAAGGAACACACAACCTCACGGTAAGAAGTGTCGGAGAGGGTAGATAAGGTTAAGAGCAACATACCTCAAATAGCTTCCCCCAACCACAGAGATAATCTCACCAGATGACCTGATGGCGATTGCAATGACCAGTCACTGCATCGGCACAACCAGCATTATCTCGCCCTTCCACCTCAGCATCAATCACACATTAGATAGTTCTCATCACACTGTCCAGACCACATTAACACCACGTAGCCTTCCCGGCGATCCCCTCACCTCCTGGGTCGCCACTCACTCGCTTCCGCACTCCTCACTACACACCACTTACGACCAAACTCGCCAAGCAGACCGCATGCATGCACCGTACCAGGCAGAAGGCAAGCGCCAAATGAGCGCAAACCTACCACAACTCTGATACCAAATTGCAAGGAAGATGAGCGATAGCGAACTTCAGCAATCAAACAGCATCATACATATGAGTCCAGATAGTCGTGACCTCGAACCAACAGCAGAATTGCATCACGAGATTCACCAAATAAGAACACACCAATAGTTCATAATTGACAATGCTGAAATAGTCCCATCATCA